GGCATCACAGCTCACAGCAACCTCCAACTCCTGGGCTCAAGCGAGTCTCCTGCCTCAGCCTCCCAAGTAGCTGGGACCATAGGCGTCTGCCACAACGCCTGGCTGTTTTTTGGTTGCAGCCGTCATTGTTGTTTGGTGGGCCTGAGCTGGATTTGAACCCGCCACCTTAGGTGTATGTGGCTGGCGCCTTAGCCACTTGAGCCACAGGTGATGAGCCAAGCCCCCAAGTCTTATAGGGGCTGTATGATGATGGAAACAAAGAATATTACAATCCAGGCCTGCGTTCAGATGACCTTCAGCAAGCCATATCACTGGCTGCAGCACCCTCATCAGGAAGTGGGGTCAGGGAGGATTAACCGAGGTTATATGGTGATGCTCCTAGTACAGTGCCTATCCCACGGTAGGTGTTCCCCACCGAGCAGCCACTGTTACTCTCAGATAATAGTGGCAGCTGCTTCTGTCTTTTCAGTGGGAGATGGGGCTGGGCCACAGCAGGCAGCAGCAGCATCCTGGCAGAGTTCGGATCCCTGCACTTGGAATTCTTACACCTCACCGAGCTCTCTGGCAACCAAGTCTTCGCTGAAAAGGCAAGTCACCCCCAGCCCCTGTCCCCTCCCAAAGCAGCTCCCTGCTCTTCTTCCCACAGAGAGCAAAAGTGTGAGCACTGGGCATTTTCAGAGGTAAGTGGGACCTCCCTCAAATCAGCAAGAGAGTGACTGGGGGCAGGAGCCTACCAGCCACTGCTAACATAGCAAGTAGCAATTTGTGGAAGATGCAAGCACACCCCAAAGACAGGGGGCAGGGAAGGTGAGCACAGGGAGTCATCAGGATTTTACAGAGGGCCAGAGAGAGACAAAACTCTGCCAGGGAGAAGGCTGTCACCACTACATATCAGCTGAGTGGCAGCCACCCACATATGAAATCTGGAGAAAGTGCAGCTGAAATCTAGGCACCACCTTGCACTGGCAGGAATGGGCTACCCCATGCAAAAGTCCCCTTTCTGGGGACATTTAACTTTTCTGTGTACAATATGCCTGCCTCCTCCTTCCATGTGCCTGTCTAGCTCACACAGTGAGCAGGCTGGCAAAACACCGCACCTCCACAGCAGGTGCCCCTGGCTGTCCAAGGCCTCGGGGTGCTGAGAGGCACTGTCCTACAGGAGGAGCTGTTCTTCAGTGCCACAGCCCTAGGCAATCCCCACTGTCTGGAAGTGTCTCTGTAGGTCTGACCCTAAACCCAAAGAAGGGACATGTGCATACACCATCCTAAGCTGTGGCTGGGCTGCAGTGACTATAGTCCCTCCCTAGGGACTGCCTGAGGAGATGGAGAGCCCTCCAAGGAGAACCTTTTGGAGACCTCCCACTTCCAGTGCTTCCTCTTCCCCCCAGAATGCCAGCCTCTGAGGCCAGCAGAGCTGGGAGATTACAGAGTCGCACCTTTGTCCAGGGCTCCCAGCCTCACAACACAGCTAAGCATCAAAGCATCCCTAGCATAGCTGTACGGAAGGACCTCTGGGCTTCACCCGAGGCCCTGGCATGTGCAGGATTGGCACTGCTGCTTACTCAGTGTAGTAATCTGCCTGCGCATCCTCAAGAAACTCAAGAATTTCTCAAGCTTCTTGATCACTCCCTCTACCATGGGGCTCACTTAAACAGTCCACTGGCAACCCTTCCTTTAAAAACATTTTCCTTTCACTGGGAGGGACTCTGCCTCCTTGAGAGCTCTGGGAATGAGTATAATCCCACTTCTCAGTAGCTCTCCTTTTCTGATCCTTTTCCCAACTCCAAGCCCCTCCAACTTCTCTTCTTCCATTGTTCTTGAGCCAAACTCCTCTAGAAGGTTCTGACCTTCATTCTGAAGTGAAACCAGAAGCTCACTGTACTTCCTGGTCAGGCTGGAATAATGTGCCCGAGCACCTACTGTGTGCCCAGTGCTTTAGAATAGCTCTTCCTGGTGTCCTCATTTCACAGAGGAGGAAACGACTCAGAGAGGTAGAATAACTTGCTCTGGGTCATCGACTGGGATTCAAGCCCAGGACTTTCCAGCACCTTCCAGACCAGATTATTACAGCAGCCTGCAGGCTTTTGCTCTAAAGTTCATCGTCTGTCTCTGTTTCTCTAAGTTTACATACACTCCAGCTATTTTCATCCCCCAGTCATGCCTCCCACAGAGGCAATTATTGGCAGTCAACAAATTGGCCCAAATTCTAGAAGCACCCGCACCCTCCCGGCGAGCTAATTTAGCCTGCTTCACTGCTCACCACCAGGACAGTTGAGAATAACTCAGGTACAAGCAGAGACCTGTCCCCGTAATGGACTCTATTAACATAAATGGATGTGAAACCTTATATGGCAAAGCCAAGTGCTGTCCCCTGGAAAAAAAGGTCTGACAGCTGACAGGCTGCTCTCTCAGCTCCTGGCCTTGTAGACAGATAAATCTATTATCATGATACAGTGTGGTCCCTAAGGACCTTTCTCCCCAGAGTATACAGCCTATGGATAAAGCCCCCCTGAACTCCACTTCTCACCCTTCATGGCCCTGAAGGTTGCAAGTCTAGCCTTTTTGCTCCAGTAGGAGCAGCCTCTGCTCCATGTTGCTGTGTGGTCACTGCCCTGAGCCGGGTAGAGGGGCCTACTCTGTGGAGGACAGGGAGTATGTGTGGTCTGTGTGGTCAGATAGACCCACTCACTACCTGGCTGTGCCACTTAAGAACTAGATGGCCATTGGCAGGCAAGTCACCAAACCTCTCTAGGTTTGGGGTTTCTCATCAGACTGAGATAATAATACCTGATAGGTGGGTATGATGGTTGGAGATAGGGTATATAACAGGTCTGGCTCAGAGGAACTGAGAAATATTAACAGCTGTTATTGTTGTAACTATTATGATTATTACTAAAACCCTGAGATGCCTATTAGGTGTGGGGAGTATTCAAGAGCCCAGGCCTCTCCTCTGAAATGATTCCAAGGTGTCAGGTAAAATAACACATGACTAAAGTTGAGCCATTTGAAATTGCCAACATTTGACCTTTTTTTAAATTACCTTATCTATTTATCACTTGGGGGGTGGGTAAGAATGCTTAGAGTTAACAACACTTAACACTAAGCAATTTTCAAGAACACAGTGCATTGTTATTAACTAGTGACCATGTTATACCACAGATCTCTGGAACATATTCCCTCTAAGGGAAATTTTGTATCCTTTGATCAACATCATCTCCCCAGCTCTCCCACAACCCCTGGTAATCACTGTTCTACTCTCTACTTCTTTGAGTTCAACTTTTATTGTACTCCACATACAAGCACGAGGGCAGCGTTTGTCTGTCTGGCCTGGCCTGCTTCACTTAACATAATGTCCTCCAAGTTCAAATGTGTTGCTGCAAATTATAGGATTCCCTTCCTTCTTAAGGTTAAATTGTATTCCATCGTGCGTATAGACCACATTTTCTTTATTCATTATTCCATTGATGCTTAGGTTAATTCCCTATCTTGGCCACTTGAATAACGCTGCAGTGAACATGGGCGTGCAGCTGTCTCTGATGTACTGATTTCATTTCCTTTGGATACATACCCCGTAGTGGGACTACCACATTTGACCATTTTTTGACCTACTAAAAAGGCTATTTTTGCCTAACACTTACAAATGGGCTACTGTCAATTATGTGAACTCCCCCCAAAGGATTCCTCAAGCCAGTGTGTAGTGAGGAAGTAGTGAGGGTGGGATCAGGGAGGTTAGGCAGGCAGTGGGCCTGTGGCAAGACTGGCCTGGTAGTAGGTAGTAGGTCAGCGGAAGGAGGGTGAGTCAGGCCCCACCATGGCCACGCCCCTTCACACCCTCCACATGGCACAAGGCCACCTCACCATCTCCAGATTGGAAGCTGCTGTTCACTGCGCAGCCCCAACTTCCTGCCCCCGGTCGGGTTTCCTCTGTGCACCTGACCCAGCTGTCTCCTGTCCTCTGTGGGCTAAGAGTCAGTTGGCTTCTTCAGGAGAGTGAAGCCGCACCTGCTGTCCATCTCTTGGCAGGTTAGGAACATCCGCAAGGTCCTCAGGAAGATTGATAAGCCCTTCGGCCTCTACCCCAACTTCCTCAGCCCAGTGAGCGGGAACTGGGTGCAACGTGAGTATAGAGACACCTCTGCCCCTTGCTCAGAAGATTCCTGACCAGACTTCCTGGTCTCCATGATAAGCACCTGAGCCAAGTGAGGAGCAGCACGTTTATCAGAGCCACATCACCTGCAAGGCACCCACTTGGTGCTCCTGTATGCCACCTGCCTCCCCAGGCCTCTGAGGGATTTGCCCACTGTTGTTATCTGGTATAGCTGCTGTTGACTGAGGCCCTGCCCTGGGCACTGGTCACCCTAACTTTTCTGGCTCCTGTGGATGCCACAACTCTCCATCTCTTGTGGCACCATAGAATCCTCCTGCATTACCCTCCAGACTCCCAGGAGTGTCCCTAGCAGTCATCCAGTCTGGGAATGGCTCCAAAAGAGGCCATGCATCCTTTCCCAGTCCCTTTGATCTGGCTCCCTACTTCTCACTTTAATTTAAAAAAACTTTTAAAACAAGGCCTATAACCATACTGTAATATAGAAATTCTACAGCAATGTAGAAATTGCCCTTGTACCTTAAACCTATAAAGGAAGCAGGGGCAGGCCAAGGATCCAGCTTCACCCTGCCAACTGAGGCCCTCATCTTGTGATCACAATCAGCAGCAAGAACTGGCAGTGGCAGATTCTATGGCTTTGCCTATATGGTCTTCCCAAGACCTGCCCAGATCCCACCACCATTGCCTCTGCCCACACATGGACCACCACATGTGCCTGTTCCTGGCACAACCCCAGTTGTGCATCAGCAAGGGCTTAGGGGCACAGTAGATATGAGTGTGATTTATGGCATGGCTTAGGGGATGTACTTTGTCTCTTTGAACCTTGGTTTCCTGTCCTGCAAAATGGGAGAGGGGAGTGAGATACATTCTTTGTGTGCCACAGTGGGGCGTAGGAATAATGGTCAAGGGCTGCAGGAAACAGATTTCAGTTCACTCTTCCAAAAAATGACCTAGGTTGTCTCAAAAGGGAATGATACAAGCAAGGCCTGGAGGGCTGGCAGCAGGGACCCTGTGCAGAAGCAGCCAGGTCTTCCAACCCGAGTTGGTTCCTTCCAACCTGAGCCCTTACCAGCTGCAGGCCCAGGAGGCCCAGAAAATCCAACCAAGGGATGACCTCACCCCACATGGCCTCCTCCAAAAATCACTTAGAGAAATGCAAAATATTTTTAACCAAAACACACTGCCAAATCCAAAAGTACAGGGAGAAAATGAAGTCTCGTGTTGCAGATTATGGCGACAGGAAGAAACAATTCCATAACTGTTACGGCTTTTAATTGCAAGGCCTGGCTGGGTTAGGAGACAAACTACTCTGCTGGCCTCAGCTGCTCCAGGACAATGCAGCAAAACCCATAAAAAGAGGCAAAAGGGGTGTGGGCTTCTCAGCTAAACAGTTACCTTGGCAAATTACAGGGGCACCCCTGCCGAGAAGCATAATTTTCCTTTCAGGCTGTGCCAGGGGCTGCAGGTCTGGGCAAAGTCGATCACATGTGGGAAATTGTTTCATATAAATAAAATATGAATCTGCAGCCTGCCAAAGAGCAGAGGGGAGGTTATAATGCCCTGCTCATCTGGATGCCTGCCTCCCTCCTCCCTTGACTTTAGGGCCCCAGGTCATCTCAGGTTTCCTGTGGTTTTTGTTGGGCTTTTTGGTGCAGTGTGTATTTTTTAACAGATCACCTTGCATAAGCTTAAGTGCACTCATGTTATTTTCTCTCCTTAAATCCTTAGAACACGCCTGTAGGCAAGGACTGTTAGGCCCATTTGCAACGGCAGAAATTGCAGCTTAGAGGGTACAGGAGGAATTAAGGCTGCATCCCAGTTATCTAGGCCTCTGCTCTGCCTGCTTCCCACTCCTCCTTGAAACGGAGCTTTCAGGTAATAGAGGAGGCCCAAGACCCTCCTGCTGCTAAGATTTCACACCTAAGAAAAATCCACCGGGCTCCAGATGGCACCAAACACAGATGAGACAATCCTAAGAGCAACCTACCGAATCCCTGAGTAACTTGTCATTGCTCTTGGCCTAAACCCCACGCTTTCTTCAGTGGGAGGGAGGTTACAAGTTCAGGTCTCCCTGGTGGGTTTAGGAGCATGAGCTGCTATCAGCCCCAGCCTTGTGGCTCCCCTGGCATCATGCCAGCCAACTCCCAGACTTGTGACTTAGCCTCTCACTGCCAAGTGTGATGAGAACATTGACATGGGCAGGACCTGCAGAGTCTGACTCTGCTCTCAGGCTCACAACACTGGCTACTGCTCCCCTGTCACACATCCTATAGCTCCAGAGACTGAGTCCCAGGGTGGACAGTGACTCGCCCTGAGCTAACACAGGCTCACATCATCTAATTCTCACTCCTGTTCCTCTCCCAGTTTACCCCTCACACATACATGCTACAAAGCAGTGGGACCTCCACACAAGAGTTGGCCACTTAAGTCCCCCTTATTGGTTATTCACACATACCCAAGAGGCAGATATATGGAACCCAGATGACCTAGCTGCCCTCTCCTGCGTGCCCCTGCCCAAGGAAGCTCTGGGCCTTGCCTCATACACACTCCACAATCACATGATGAAGTCCAAACTCCTTGGCTTGGCATCCAAGGCTCTTCCCAGCACAACTCAAACCTACCTTCCATTACTTCGTCAACATTGCCTGGACACTTCTATGTGCCTTACAGGTACTGGGCACAGAGGGAGAATCAGACTCAGTCCCTGCCCACAAATGTCCCACAGCACAAAATCCAGTGGAGGAGGCAAACTCACGCACAGATACTCATCACACAACATCTGATGTGAAATGTGCACCCATGGTGCCAGGGAGAGCTGCCACCGAGGGCTTCAGGTGTTAGCACATGCCTTATATCACTCACTCCTTCCTACATGGAAGGGCTATGAGCTGAGCTCCAGCAACACTGAGGAAAGCCTGCAGCCCAGACCAAAGGTGAGGAAGCATCAGCTGTGGGAAGGCACATTGGACCCAGGGTTGGCGCAAGCCAAGGCACAGAGGTGAGAAGTCAGACAGGGAAGGCTGGGAGCTTAGGGTGTTTGGGTGGTAGAGAAAAAAAGCCAACGGCCAGGGCAGGACATGAATCTGGATGTGACAGAAACTGTAGTCACCTTGCCTGTGACAGGCCCCCCTTCTGTGGGCAGAGGAGAGCAGCAGAAGGGCTCTAAGTGGAGACCAACCCAGTTTGACTTGCAGCCTCTCCCAAGACCCCTGCACAGACCTGCTCCAGCTGGGGACCTCCTATCAAGGTTCCAGGCCTGGCCCAGCCCCTTTGTGCTGGCCCCTAGGAATGCCAGACAATAAAGACACTGGCTGGCTCTCTCTTCCCTCCTCACCTGAGCAAAGTCCAGCCCACACAGACCCCTCCCAAGTCCTCCCAAAGCTCATGCCTCATCTTGTCTGTTCTAATTTTTGCAGGTGCATGTTCCATGCAGGAACCCTTGCTGGGCCAGGATGTATTTATGGATTGGGGCTGATTTAGTGTGTGGCTGCCTCTCAGCCCCCTTCCCTGGCTCCCTTCTCTGTCTTTGTCCTGTATTTTGGTCCCTCTTCCCTCAGACTTGTCTCTCTCTGTACATCTTTGTCTTCACTCTGCAGTTAACTTCACTAGCTGCAGAAAGTGAGGGCTTTACTCACCCACTTGGTGACCTTGGGCAAGCTGTTATGGCTCACTCTCACATTTTTCCATCTGGGAAATGGGGTCGATCAAATGCTTACCTTGCAGAATGGTTAGGAAAAGAAGTTATAAATAATACAGCAAAACTCCCAGCCCACAATGGACACTCAATGAGTGG